TATTCAATATATATATATATATATATATATATATATATATATATATATATATATATATATATATATATAAGTCAGAATTTTATTCTGGCCTGGAACAATGGAATAATATTGCTATGGAATATATATAAGTCAGAATTTTATTCTGACCTGGAACAATGGAATAATATTGCTATGGAATATATATATTATTACTCTCCAATATTACTCTCCAATATTATATATATAGGAATTTTATTCTGACCTGGAACAATGGAATAATATTGCTATGGAATATATATATTATTACTCTCCAATATTACTCTCCAATATTATATATATAGGAATTTTATTCTGACCTGGAACAATGGAATAATATTGCTATGGAATATATATATTATTACTCTCCAATATTACTCTCAATATTACTCTCCAATATTATATATATATTATTATTCTCCAATATATTATTATCCATAATATTATTCCATCGTTCCAGGTCAGAATAAAATTCTGTCCTCTCGCGAGCAGCACGTTTAATCACTCAAATAAATGTGGGCACACGCGACAACAACAGAAATCTTCTATTTCCTCCATGAAATCACTAGGATCGAGAGAGTTCTAAATCGTTGTAACCGTGAGAAAATGGTGGAACAAGGGGTTGGGCAATTATTTAATAACCGATTATCACCGTACACGAGAACGACAGACAGGTCACACGGCGTCTTTTGCACTTTTGCCGGCGGGGAGACGAATTTCCCCGCTATATAGGATCGATCCCCACTTTACGGTGAATCGTGCGTGAAGCCTGTCGATGATAAAACCGGAGACGTCGATCCCGCCTCGGATGCTGGACCGCAATGCCAATCGACGCAGCGAATTCAGCTAACGAGAAATCTAAATGGAGCGGAAGGAAGTTTCTCGTGGTTCCTGAGAGCCTCGGGGAAAAAAGGAACGCGGGGCGGTCGAAGTCTCGACGGTTTCCGCTCGGTTAAACCGCATCCTTTTTATTTTTTGTCTCTGCTCGTATTCGTTTATCTCCTATTTTTTTTCTTCGAGGCGAAATAAATTATCCAGACTTTTTACACGGAATTAACGAGCGATCACGTTACCGGCAGACGTTATGCAGACCGCGTGGTTCAAGCGTGGAATGTGTGGTTAATTCGTATTTACAAACGAGCTGTTCTTTTTACGGTGTACCTGTTATCATAATTCGGTCGATGAACAATCGTCTTCGTCAGGCCGCGAGTCGCGTTGTTTAATTTGTCACGAGGCGCGAGTTTCTCGAATCCGTTCGCGAATGACTGGTTTTTCCTGCCGGACGCTGCGAGAGACAGTTTAACGATGCCGATGAATACCGAGTCTTCATGTTTAATTCAGAGTCGTCGTCGCGCAAACCGCGTCGTGACATCATTCGTCGTTGAACGTTGCCGCGTTTTATTGTCTGAAAAATATCGAAGAAATGTTTATCTTTACCGATCGTCAGAAACGGCAGGTACAATCACGGTCCACTGAAGTAATTTGTATAAAGTTATTATACTATATTATATATATATTATATAATATACTATATTATATATAAATATATATATATTATACTATAAAGTTATTAAGTTAAGAGGAGAGTTACTATAAAGTTATTAAGAGGAGAGGATTTGTATAAAGTTATTATACTATATTATATATATACTATATTGTATAATATACTATATTATATATATTATATATATTATACTATATATATATTATACTATAAAGTTATTAAGAAGAGAGGAAATATGTTTATCGAGGATCCAGTAGAATAATGGTCGGCTAAAGGATTTCGATTGAAAAATGCTTGCTTTCAGACATGCCGATAATTTTTGTTCTTCGTACTATGCCTCGGATCTGCATCAGTTGCCACGTTCGTTGCATAATTGTTCGGATGCATTGACTTCCGAGGTCGACCGGTTTGCTATGTCGAGCGAAGCAACATTTTTCACACGAAGTAACCTCAGAAATCTAATACGAAGACATTTTTGATTCTTCGAATTCTTTTACAGTTCACGGAACGCAACACGCGAGCGACGACTGAATTATAGTAAACTTTTTTCTTAATTGACGCTTAGCTTGGAAACAAAAATGGACAATTTGGGAAGGGGAGGTACGATTATTCGTGCCTTGTGGCTCGTTTTTATAGTTGTTGACGATTGGTAACTATAAAAACGAGCAATTTCCAAATTGTCCATTTTTGTTTCCAAGCTAAGCGTCAATTAAGGAGAATTTACTGTATTGTTATAATTGTAATTTGCAGATACAGTAAATTTTCTGCAATTGTCCTTCAGCATGTACAATAAATTCTCCCTAATTCACGCTTAGATTGCTCACAAAAATGGACAATTTGGGAAGAGAAGATACGATTACTCGAGTCTTGTACCTCATTTTTATAGTTACCGATTGTCAACAACTATAAGAACGAGCCACGAGGCTCGAATAATCGTGTCTCCTTTACCAAAACTGTCCATTTCTGTTTACACGTCAGTGACAACTGGAGAGAATTTACTGTACTCGAAGTGATCGTCGTCGTTTTGCATTATGAATTATGCGGATATTCTGAGAACTGAGAGATCAAGTTCCCATTGATGCTCAAGTGGGTTGGATTTCAGAGCAAATATTGAGAGAGAGAGAGAGAGATCTTGTAATATTGATTTTCCACTCCACCGCAAGTTCTCGTGAAAATAATTAACGATTAACTTCTACCGCAGCGCCAGTCAGCGCAGCTCAACAATAAACGCTCTGCGATTTCATTCTTTATTGGTACGTTAACATAAATAGAAAAGAAGGGACCCGACGGGTCCGGTAAAAAAAGTTACGCAAAATGGCTATAGTTTAACGTGTTACAATTACAATTAAACTGTTAAATGCATTCTTGGTACTTGAGACGCGTGATCATAATATGCGACAGTTGCGACCGAGACCTTTCGGCGTCTGTACAATGATAACAGGTCGACGACCACGCGACGCCATTTTTTCTTTACAGTCTATCGGCGTTGTGGGGGCGTTATTGCTTGCACTTAATGTTTCGAAGAAAACAATAGTTATATTGGGATTACGGTGACAGGATAGAAACGAAGGGAACGTATATATATGTACAGAATTTCAATTTTGGCTGTCAGCCAAAACGACGAAACTTTGATTTGGCGCTCGCTAGCATTGTATTCCATGTTTTGGATCGAGATCCAAATTAATCGACTAATCAACTAATGTACAACTTAGTAGTGGTTAATTTTGGGCCTCGAATGTTCTTGATCACCTTTTCGCTTAGCCTAACGAGTAAAAGACGAATTACGTGTCGCCATCTTCATACGATCCCGAGGAGGATGTACAGCCTCCGAGGATTCTCGAATCCTTGAAATCGACGTATTACAAAATAGGTGCAATTATTCGGCTAACAATTATCTAAATTGCGATATCGTATATGTAAGAAAACTACGGTTGAGTTTGGATTCTATACAGGAATCTTGGAAATGTTGCGACGGTTCGCAAAAAAACCTCAAAAATCATTGTAATCTCCAAACTTCGAAACACGTATAAACTAATTGAAACTTAACTGAAAGTCTCGGACATTTTTCATAATAATATAATAATAATATAATAATAATAATATAATAATAATATAATATAATAATAATAATATTATAATAATAATAATAATAATAATAATAATAATAATTCTAATTAATATTCCTTTTTCGTCGTCGAATGACGAACAAGCCGAATAATTCTTGTTAAACGTTCCAGACGCGTGCCGGCGTATTAACATTAAAATTTCAAAGATTAAGTCACGTCTCTTCGAGTATTCGAGCGAAAGTGAAGAGAAGACAACGCGAAGGGAAAGCAATGTACATAAAAGAGCCAGAAGAGTTTGGAACCGTGCACGGAATATCGATGAGGGACTGTTTTATGGCCTCCGTTCGATGAACGAGCGTTTTTACACGATTTACATTTACACGCTATTAATACTAACAATTACGAAGAACACTGGCGTCGCACGATCACTTCGGCGTTCGTGAACGAAGAACACAATCGTCGAAGGCACATTTCGCTGACGGTCCTTTGTTCCGAAGGGAGGAGAAGGACTGCGCGTCCTCGGCCTGTCATCTTCTCACTTCTTCGTGGCTCCTGGAACAGAAAATATAAGAAACAAATTATATAGACGAACATCTTTTTTTTTAATTTTATATAAGCAGCTTAACTTTTATTAAAAAATATAAATGTATGTATAACACAAAACGAAATAAAAACGAAAATATTATTTTCATTTAATGTAACCGTAATTTAATAAATTTCTTCACCTTCTAACCTTTTTAAAAAGTCTGTAATTTAGGTTTGTTTGCAGGTTCTACAAGGTCATTGTAGATTTCATGGTATTTCATGGTATCACAGCTTCTCTCAGCGAAAGGGTATATAAATAACCTTAAAATATTGTCGGGAAGGAATAATGAACCATAATGGCTTTACATAAAAATATAATTATATTATATTATAAATATATATATTATATAATTATATTATATTATAAATATATATTATTATATATATATATATATTATATATTATATATATTATTATATTATAATAATTATATATTTATATACTATTAATTATATTATATTATAAATATATATTATTATATATATATATATTATATATTATATATATATTATTATATTATAATAATTATATTTTTATGTAAAGCCATTATGGTTCATTATTCCTTCCCGACAATATTTTAAGGTTATTTATATACCCTTAATTATATTATATTATAAATATATATTATTATATTATAATAATTATATTTTTATGTAAAGCCATTATGGTTCATTATTCCTTCCCGACAATATTTTAAGGTTATTTAATTTTTAAATATGTTAAACAAAGTGCTAGTATCCAGTGTTGTAGAACTACAGTGTCGTACAAAGGTTTTCGCAATTTTCTTATCGTGCTAGATCGAAACAATGTTACAGGATGCCGTGTTGCAACAGAGCTACCAGCATTACATTCCGACGAGAAAAATATCCTGAATTCGAAATCAACGAGGGCTTCGATATCCTGAATAACGTCGATGTTACAATGAAGCGATTACCGGCAGGGAAGAAGCTGGTCTTTTAAGGCGACTCGAGAAGGTTTCAAGAAATGGTGACGATGAGAGTCCGATTAAGTAACCAGCCTCCGTGAATTCGCAGAGTAAAAGGGAACGGTCGGGTGATTAGTTCCTCTGGAATGCCAATTTGCGACCGGGCTTTCAACGAGCCTTTTGAATCACTCCGAGCCTTCTTAAGGACTTCTTTCAAAGGGTTTCCGAGTACGCCGATAGTGTTCTCGCGAATGCTCGGTTTTTTTTTGCGAGGCAAAGAAACCTTGGCACTATCCAAACGATCACGACCTTTTATAAAACTTTGTTGCACAATCACTGCAATAGTCTGCTAAACATTGCGTTGACGCATAGTCCAACCCTTTGCCTATGACAGATTTTTATGTATACCTTGCACGTAGTATTTGTAATATTTTTTAGATTTATGTTAAAATGGTCGAAAAATTGAACCCTGTATTACATATGTTCGTTAATAATATTAGTAATATATTTATTAGTGATATATTTATTTAGTAATATATTTATTAGTGATATATTTATTTAGTAATATATTTATTAGTGATATATTTATTTAGTAATATATTTATTAGTGATATATTTATTTAGTAATATATTTATTAGTGATATATTTATTTAGTAATATATTTATTAGTGATATATTTATTTAGTAATATATTTATTAGTGATATATTTATTTAGTAATATATTTATTAGTGATATATTTATTTAGTAATATATTTATTAGTGATATATTTATTTAGTAATATATTTATTAGTGATATATTTATTTAGTAATATATTTATTAGTGATATATTTATTTAGTAATATATTTATTAGTGATATATTTATTTAGTAATATATTTATTAGTGATATATTTATTTAGTAATATATTTATTAGTGATATATTTATTTAGTAATATATTTATTAGTGATATATTTATTTAGTAATATATTTATTAGTGATATATTTATTTAGTAATATATTTATTAGTGATATATTTATTTAGTAATATATTTATTAGTGATATATTTATTTAGTAATATATTTATTAGTGATATATTTATTTAGTAATATATTTATTAGTGATATATTTATTTAGTAATATATTTATTAGTGATATATTTATTTAGTAATATATTTATTAGTGATATATTTATTTAGTAATATATTTATTAGTGATATATTTATTTAGTAATATATTTATTAGTGATATATTTATTTAGTAATATATTTATTAGTGATATATTTATTTAGTAATATATTTATTAGTGATATATTTATTTAGTAATATATTTATTAGTGATATATTTATTTAGTAATATATTTATTAGTGATATATTTATTTAGTAATATATTTATTAGTGATATATTTATTTAGTAATATATTTATTAGTGATATATTTATTTAGTAATATATTTATTAGTGATATATTTATTTAGTAATATATTTATTAGTGATATATTTATTTAGTAATATATTTATTAGTGATATATTTATTTAGTAATATATTTATTAGTGATATATTTATTTAGTAATATATTTATTAGTGATATATTTATTTAGTAATATATTTATTAGTGATATATTTATTTAGTAATATATTTATTAGTGATATATTTATTTAGTAATATATTTATTAGTGATATATTTATTTAGTAATATATTTATTAGTGATATATTTATTTAGTAATATATTTATTAGTGATATATTTATTTAGTAATATATTTATTAGTGATATATTTATTTAGTAATATATTTATTAGTGATATATTTATTTAGTAATATATTTATTAGTGATATATTTATTTAGTAATATATTTATTAGTGATATATTTATTTAGTAATATATTTATTAGTGATATATTTATTTAGTAATATATTTATTAGTGATATATTTATTTAGTAATATATTTATTAGTGATATATTTATTTAGTAATATATTTATTAGTGATATATTTATTTAGTAATATATTTATTAGTGATATATTTATTTAGTAATATATTTATTAGTGATATATTTATTTAGTAATATATTTATTAGTGATATATTTATTTAGTAATATATTTATTAGTGATATATTTATTTAGTAATATATTTATTAGTGATATATTTATTTAGTAATATATTTATTAGTGATATATTTATTTAGTAATATATTTATTAGTGATATATTTATTTAGTAATATATTTATTAGTGATATATTTATTTAGTAATATATTTATTAGTGATATATTTATTTAGTAATATATTTATTAGTGATATATTTATTTAGTAATATATTTATTAGTGATATATTTATTTAGTAATATATTTATTAGTGATATATTTATTTAGTAATATATTTATTAGTGATATATTTATTTAGTAATATATTTATTAGTGATATATTTATTTAGTAATATATTTATTAGTGATATATTTATTTAGTAATATATTTATTAGTGATATATTTATTTAGTAATATATTTATTAGTGATATATTTATTTAGTAATATATTTATTAGTGATATATTTATTTAGTAATATATTTATTAGTGATATATTTATTTAGTAATATATTTATTAGTGATATATTTATTTAGTAATATATTTATTAGTGATATATTTATTTAGTAATATATTTATTAGTGATATATTTATTTAGTAATATATTTATTAGTGATATATTTATTTAGTAATATATTTATTAGTGATATATTTATTTAGTAATATATTTATTAGTGATATATTTATTTAGTAATATATTTATTAGTGATATATTTATTTAGTAATATATTTATTAGTGATATATTTATTTAGTAATATATTTATTAGTGATATATTTATTTAGTAATATATTTATTAGTGATATATTTATTTAGTAATATATTTATTAGTGATATATTTATTTAGTAATATATTTATTAGTATTATATTTATTAGTATTATATTTATTAGTAATATATTTATATACTAATATATCTATTAGTAATATTATATATATTTACTAGTCGTTTATAGGCGCCAGAAATTTGCTAAAATTATCTAGACGCCTATAGACGTCAACGGAAGTAGATTAAAAGACCCTAGACTTTCGGTGTTAAGAATGCATCCACCCTAGAATTTCGAGTAGAACTCTCACCTCTGGGAGGTACAGGCGGGGCAGGCGCCTTCTTGGCGATCTTGAGCTCTTGGGAAAGATCCACATTCATGTAATCCGGCATTCTAGCGCCGTCAGGGACGTCGACGTCACAGGAACCGTTCACCAGATCCGTTTCCACGTACTCCTCGTTGCTTTTATTCGCAGCCGTTGCTTCTATCGCCGGACCTTGACCCTCAGCAGGCGTCTTGGCGTCCTCTGTCATTGGAGTCTCAACCTTGGCCGGGTTCTTCGAGGTTTCAGGGGTCTGGGCCACTTCGGCCGAGTGCCTCTGCTGACTCTGGGCTTCCTGGATCGGCGTGGCGTGTCCAGGTGTCACGTTCATGTAGTTCGTGGGAATGCACATGCCTGCAGGCGGTGCCGGAGCTGAATTCGCCGCTGCTGGTTCGACGTTGGCGTAACTGTTACCAGGATGCCTCGGCGGATCCGTGTCCGGGGTGTCCGCGCTCGCTGGAGACGAACCTTGGAGCATTTCTAGGTATTTAGGGTGGTCGCACGGGGAGCTGGGGGTCTTTGGTTCCTTCATGGTGTGGTCCGGCTTGAACGCTGTGGGAAAATAGGAATTTATCAACTTCAAAGATTTCATAAAATTGAAGTAATATACTTAATTCAGTATATTATACTTATACGTTCTGTGTACCACCGATGGTATGTGCTTACGTGTTTATTTAATGTGCTAAAAAAATTGTTTATTAGAAATTTAGAACCGAAGAATTAATTTCCACTATAAGAATGGGTCACAATAAGTTTGTTTCATTGTTACATATCTACGATAATTAATAATTACATATAATATATCAAGTGTTTTAATAAAAAAAAAAAATATCAGAAATATTATATTATTACTATATTATAATATTATTATAGTATTAGTATAATATTATATTACTATTATATTATAATATTATTATAGTAGTATTAGTATAATGTTATATTATTAGAGTATTAGTATAATATTACATTACTATTATATTATATATATAATATATTATTATAGTGTATTAGTGTAATATTATATTATTATTATATTATATTAGTATAATATTATATTATTATTATATATATAATATATTATTATAGTATTAGTATAATATATTATATTACTATTATATTATAATATTATTATTATTATTTTCAGATTTTCCGGTTTCAATTCCAACCTCCGAATATTTAGGAGAAATGACTGTAACTGACTGCACTTAACGCGGACGATTCTTACAATGAATGGGTAATCCCGAAGGAGGAAAGGCGATGTAATATTCCGTGTCCTCTGCCTTCGACGGTAACTGAGGTCTGAGGTCGAGGTCGTTTCCAGTAGAGGATCGAGGCGACGGCGAGTACCTGAGTGCGGGCGAGTACCTGCCGGCGAAAGGTTTCGGGGCAGGCGGTATCTCGTAGGACATTACTCCCGGTTTGTCCTCCCTCGCGTTTTGTAACTGCAATTACATCGACCCTGATCGAGATTCGTTCGGACAAAAATAGAAAACTGAATTTCCGGTTCTGACACATACTCTCCTATCTTCTGTGTCCGAATGAGTTCCACTGTCACCGAGGCTGGTCCCGCTGCATCCGCTGGCGGTGCTCATTCTACCGGACGAAGACGAACCTGAGGAAATAGAAACGCAGATATCAAACACATGTTTCCCTGTCTCGCTTTCAACGAACAACGGCCACGTACTCGACACGCTGCGAAGACTCAGACTGCTAACTGGTCTGCGATCGGCCAATCCGCCGTTGATGTTCTCCGCTTTGCTGGCCGCGGAGGAATCGTCGCTTCCGCTCGCCGAGTCCTTCGAATCTGTCCAAAGAAAACGCGCGGGTTACAATGTGTTCTTCGGCAAGCTGTAACGTTAAATTGATCACCGCCGTTCGCTTCTATCCTTCTTCTCACCTTTCTTCCCCTTGGAGAAGAACTTCCTGATCCTGTCGAACGGGGTCGGCGCCTTCATCTCCTCCTTCAACCTCTTCTGTATCCTCTCGTACTCCTCCCTCATCGCGGTCAGCTGCCTCTGCTTGTCCTTGAAGCTCTGCTGGACGTCGTTCCGGTTCCGCCAGTTCTCCACGAGCCTCTCGACCTCGTTGATCGTGAACACGTTGTTCTTGAAGTCGTTTATGATCTCCAGAAGCTCGTCCTGAGGGCCGGAAGGCTCCCTGGACTTTCCGCTCGAGCTCGAGGCGGTCCTGCCGTAGGAACAAGAGGACTGACTGTTCTCCTCGCGGCCGTGAGCGTCGTGACGACTCTGCGTGGGCGTCGCTGTCCTGGACGGCTGCTGGCTCGATATGTTCGACGTGGGCGTTTTTGGTCCTAGAAAAATCGAGATCCCATTGACAATCGAATCTTCTAAGAAACGAGAACGGTATTGCAACTTTCGAAATGGAACAATCGAACCGACTTAATAATAACAATCCTCCATTCATTGGTCATCCTTCTTTCATTCATCTTTCTGCGTTATTCCTCCTCCTTCCCCCCGATCCTTTTTTGCACTTCTCCTCCTCGCATTCGCGCAGCTTTCTTCCGATTAGGTTTATTAACCCTTTCGCTACTACGGGTGACTATGGTCACCCGCCGCAAAACGACACCCGCATGCGATGGGTGACTATAGTCACCGGCCACATGAAGCCACCTATACACGACGGGCGACTATAGTCACCGGTCACAACAATGGAGTCAAAAGTTCAAACAAGGGCAATCGCCTCGCTTTCCTCTGTTCGCAGACGCTGTCATCTACCAAAAACTACGATCAATTGTAATAAATCTGGTCATATTAATCCAACGTTTTCGAAGCAAAAGACTTGGCCCCGAATGCTGAAGACTGCGCGCGCTTAATGTTCCTGCTTTCGGCAGGGTGCTCCGTTCTACACGAGGGACTCCGCGGCGAGGCCCGCCGTAGCGAAACGGTTTGAGGGCTCAGCAAAACTAAACTGAAAAGTACCGACTGACTCGTTGACTGACTGGGGTCTCTTATTTATATTACGTCCCCCAAAAAGGCCACGCCTGTTTTGGGGGACTCGCTGTCTTCTTTTACCCCCGTTTAGTTTGGCGGGGGAGACAGCCATCGATGAACCCTCGCTGTAGGGGCGCGCTGGCCGTTCGGCCAGGTAGCGGTACGCGACCGGCGGCTTTCTCCGCGACCAGGCATGCAGTACATCTGGCAGTGATAAAAAATAAAGAGACAAAGGAATTTCCGGTTCTTGCAAACGTCAAGGACGTTTTCTCTCCGTCGACCCCTTGACATCTGCAAGCGGACAGTTTTATGGTTATTACGGTCGCCGACCGTGTGCCGCTACA